AAAAAACTAGCCGGGCGAAGTGGCGGGCACCTGTAGTCCCAGCTACTCGGGAGGCTGAGGCAGGAGAATGGCGTGAATCCGGGAGGCGGAGCTTGCAGTGAGCTGAGATCCGGCCACTGCACTCCAGCCTGGGCGACAGAGTGAGACTCCGTCTCAACAGCAACAAAAAAAAAGACTTTCGAAAATTAGAAGCTGGGAGAGAAAGGGTCAGGGAGGAGGAGAGACAGTGAAGGAAGCATGCCTGGATTTAGGTGTTTGGTTGGAAGTATATGTGAGAAGACAGAGAGGGATAAATGAAGGGATCACTGTCAGTTATTGAATATATTGCGGAAGCTAGAGGCAGTAGTGCTTGTGTCTATAATGTCAGCCCCTTAGAAGGCTGAAGCAGGGGATCACTTGAGGCCATGAGTTCAAAGCCAGGCTGAGCAACTAGCCTGATCCTGTCCCTGTCAAACAAACAAACAAAGAGTATGAATTGAGTGTAATGCATACCATTTAACCAGAACAGACAAATTTAGCACTATAGGAAGATGCCAAAGAAAGTTACTTTAGCTCATTCAAATAGCTCCACATACCCAAGTCATAGTAGCTTTGGGCTTAAAAGAGACAGAATGATTAAAAATAAAAAGTAGTGCTCACTTCAGCAGCATATATACTAAAGTTGGAATGAATATAGAGAAGATTAGCATGGCCTCTGTGCAAGGATGACACACAAATTCATGAAGTGTTCCCTTTAAAAAATTATAAAAAGTAAATGAAATAGAACATACTGATTATAGCCATAATGGTCTAGTCACACAATTCCTGAGGGACTGCAAGAGTGAATGGAGTAATCTTAGGCAGGACAAAGGAAGAGCTGGTTTAAAGCAAAGATTGAAAGAAAGCAAAACAGGTCTTGGTGGAAAACAAATAAGATAAGAGACTCCATATATGTCTATAGGGGGTTATATGAAATACAGCAAGCAGATTTTTCTCCCTTTGAAAATATTGGGAACTAGGAAAAGGAAAAAGGTGGAACTCTAGGAGGAAGACAGAAGGGATTAGGAAAAAAGGCTGCGATCTAAAGGAGTCAAAGTTGTTGGAAGTAAGGAAGGCTAAGAGAGCATAGCAAAGACTTGGGGTCAGGGATGGTAGTGCAGGGGAATGGTGGAGTAGAACTTGGTAAGTGTAAGAGATCAGGGTGTGTGACCCAAACTTAATCTTTTTCTTTTATCAGGAGATGCTGTCCATGCTGGGAGATCAGAGCAACAGCTACAACAATGAAGAATTCCCTGATCTAACTATGTTTCCCCCCTTTTCAGAATAGAACTATTGGGGTGAGGATAAGGGGTGGGGGAGAAAAAATCACTGTTTGTTTTTAAAAAGCAAATCTTTCTGTAAACAGAATAAAAGTTCCTCTCCCTTCCCTTCCCTCACCCCTGACGTGTACCCCCTTTCCCTTCTGGCTGTTCCCCTGCTCTGATGCCTCTCTAAGGTAACATTTATAGGAGAAATGGAATGAATCTCCAAGGCTTTTAGGACTCTCTGAAAATTTGAGGCTGGGTGAAGTTAAAACACCTTTCCTTATGTCTCCTGACCTGAAATTGTATGGTGTTGATTTGTGCTAAGATCAAGAGGCAGGTTAGAAGAACCTGACATCCACTGTTTGCCTTGGATAGTATGGCTTGTTTTTGGAAAGAAATTCTGAAGAGAGTGGAGGAGAGGAGAAATGTCCTTATATTTGAGGACCATGAAACGTGGTAGGTATATATGGGGCTTTAGCAAGTGAGCATAGGCTTTTTTTGCTGCCTGTGAGCAATCCCTCTGGAAAGAAACGTGAGTAAGTGAGAGAGTGTGTATGTGTGTGTATGTGTATGTGTGTGTGCGCACGTGCTTCTGTATTTCACTCTTTCTCCCTATTAGGGAGTTATGCAAAATTTGTCCCAGATTTTATCTTTGTCTTTCTGTGTACTTTTCAAAGAGTCCTAAGGAGTTAAATCTTCCAGGTATTTTCCACTTAGTATTGCAGCCAAAGAATATTTAAATAAATGTCTTTGCTGCGCTCACATCCATGCCCAGCCAATATACAACTGTAAAGCAAATATAGAAAGTCAGCTGTTGATACGGTTGTCTGTTATCGAACACATTCAGTGATAAAGCTGGGTTACTCCTGCTTTTGGTGCTCTCACCTTATCTGGAAGATCTGCAAACATTACCTAAATAGACTGGCAAGATAAACACTTTCTGAAACCCAAGACTTGGCCATAAAGATAATGCTGCATTTTTCTGTCAGAATCACATATGATGTGTGTTCTGTAGAGGTTATTTCTGCATGGAAACTCAACTTCTTGGATTAGCCGTCCCAGTGAAAATCCTCACTGTTGGAGTGTAAACCAAATACGAAGCCCTCTTGCAAAGTAGCCTCTTTCATCCCGTACTCAAAATACCCAGTTTAGCAAGAAACTGAGATTTAAGTCTTTCAGGCCCTAAGAGGTTTTTCATCTTTGCTCCCTCCAATCTTGAGATTGGGTTTTGCTTTAGTGCAAGTATAATAATTCCGTATGATAGATGGGGCCTGGACACCCATCTCAACAGGGTCACTTGGTAATTAACAATAGCCATATAAATGCGGATACAGGTTACTACCCTCACCCTTTACCTTCCTCAGGTAATAGTCGAAGATACCAGCTTTTTTTTTTTTTTTTTAAATTGGCTTTGGCCAGTAGCTAAAGTGCAAGACTGAATTAATGAGAAGATATATTAAATGTAGTCATAGGGGACTGAGGAGCAAGGATGGCCTTGAAGAGGCCAAAGTCATGTCCATTTGCTGGGTTTCCCTTCCTTTTGTCTCCAGTCCGGTGCCAGGTAGTGGAGTAAAAAAGGAGACAGTTTATTTTTTTATTCTATGTGCACACTTACAGTATACATATATATTTATATCACAATTTATGAAACCAAAAAGTTGAGTTTCCAATGGAACCCTTGTTTTTTAATAATCGACTGTTTTTAAATGTGATCAGGACTATAATATTGTACAGTTATTATAGGGCTTTTGGGGAAGGGGAGGATAGCGAGAAGATGCTCTGGGGGTTTTGTTTTTGCTTTTCCTTCAGGGTTTTATTTTTGATTGTTTTGTTTTCTTGTTGGCCATTTCTGTATTGCTGGCATCTGTGCTAAGCCTTACAGTGGCAAAAATAATGACATGTAGCAAAGATTTTGAAACAAAATATTTTTTTCCTTTTGTAAAATTTCTTGTGTTGTGTGATCTTGATTGCGGCTTTATCATTCCTTTCCAGTTCATAAACAACAGGCACCCACAACTAGAGGAATCTATAGTTTAAGCTCCAGACATACAAACATAAGGCACATTGTGTCTTTAATTTCAGGAATCAGAAATCATAGGGTTCTGATCACACTGCACGCCTCCCCCTCACTTGTCCTCCTGATCCTGACACATTCTGAGTAACATCAGCAGGAATGCTCTGACCATAAGGTGGGGATTTTGGGGTGGGCACTGCCTGGGTTCTTGGGAGAGAGGGAAAGAGTTGGGACTTGAAAACCACCAGGGCACATCTGGATGCCTTCCCCCAGTATGTCCTCTTCTGGATTAAAATGAGTGAAGTTTAAACTGTTTAAGTCTGGACCTGGTTTCCCTCTAGGAGACTATGTTGGTTCATTAGCAACATACATATATATATATGTTTTTGTTTTTTTTTTTTTAAATGAGAGAGAGAATCTCACTCTGTCACCCAGGCTGGAGTACAGTGGCATTATCTTGGCTCACTGCAACCTCTGCCCCTTGGGTTCAAGCAGTTATTCTGCCTCAGCTTCCCAAGTAGCTGGGACTGCAGATGTGTGCCACCATGCCCAGCTAATTTTTGTATTATTTTTAGTAGAGATGGGGTTTCACTATATGTTGGCCAGGCTAGTCTCGAACTCCTGACCTCAGGTGATCCACCTGCTTTGGCCTCTCAAAGGCCTAGGATTACAGGCGTGAACCACCGCACCTAGCCCATTAGCAGCTCTTAAAATCCAGAGGCATAAGCCTGTACTCTTGAGGGTTTATGCATTGAATCCAGCTAGAAACTGAGTCTATTACAGATCCCATTTATTATCCTTTCTATTCCAAGAAGCCTTTTTTCCTCCTTCCCCACATCTGTTTATGGAAGAAAATGAAGTTTGGGGTGTGGTTTGAGGACTCAGCGAGATTCTTATGATCTGTCACATGCCTGGATGTTGGGGAAGCATTTGGAGAAGCTCATGTGACTTGTCCTAGATTGGGGATTTTAATTGAGACAGATGATGTTTATCGGGCATCCCACCACCTGAGGGTTTTCGCAACAGAGTCACATGGGAGTCCATCAGAACTTATGGCACTGATTCAAGTGCTGTCATAGATAACCAGGACTGCTGTTTTTGGTTACTTTTAAAGACAATTTCATCTGGACTTTCTGGGTATATCCTCCTTCAGCAAAACCACATTAGGCTGGGAAAGCTATTCTCCTTCCTGGAAGTAATGACAACTTGCAACCAACAAGCTTACAAAAATACAAAGATTTCTGGAGCGTATGGCTTCCATTACATTATTCTTTTATAGCCTTTTATGTTCATTCCCACATCCCAGAGGTGAGGGTCAGACACAAATTTGAAAATAGGTTTCAATGTTGGAGAGGTAAATCATAACAGGAAAGGGGTAGGAAAAGATGTAATCCCCCAGTGTTATAATAAAGATATTGAAGAAGAAGGATGGGAGAGACTAGGGCTGTGTCCTTTTACTCACCAAAAGAGAAGGTAAGCTCCTATTTGAGTCAATAGATAGTGAGGTCTTGTTATTTGTCACCAAAGACAGTCTTGTGAGATTAAATACCTAGCAACTCCCTACCCTGGCACACATGCTGCACACACACAGAAACACTACAAATCCACTGACTCCTTCCCTCCTCCCTACCCTTCCTTCTCTCAGCATTTCTATCCCCGCCTCCTCCTCTTACCCAAATTTTCCAGCCGACCACTGGAGCTGACTTCCGCAATCCTGATGGAATAAATCTGGCACCCCTGATGGTCTGCCCACACTTTGCTGCTGAAACGAAGCCTGACAACAGTTCCATCAGCAGGTAACATTTGCAACTTCCTAGATCTTTTAGCTTTTCATTCCTGTCAATTCTCTAAGAGTATTAGGGATGTAGTGACTTGAGAATCACAATGAACTTTTAGCCTTTGCAGATGAAAACTGAGATGCACTTCTTAGATCATTCCCTGGCTAAATAAAATCTGCCTTGAAGTCTGTAGAATTCCTTGTATGATTTATATATATACATACATGGTTGTAAGTAAAAGCAAAGTATATAGGGAATCATTGGCCTATCCTTCAAGGGTGGCCTTTCTGCAGTGTTTTCTACTTTGGCCAACAAGGATCAAAAGGGTTAACTCCCTAGTGAGGAGGAGGAGGAGAGTGGTATGGGGAGGTGGTAGCTCAGTGCTTCCTGTTTGCTGAAACATCTCAAAGCCCTTAACACTCTAACTTTTAAGTGTCCTACTGGACATTTTGCCAGTTTGAAAAAATTACATGTAAATGGACTATAAGCAATTGTGTAAGCCATATGACATGCTGCAAGCTGCAAATTGTTCTTAAAATGGAGGATTTGTAATTAAGCAAGCCAATGCAAGAAATGAGTGAAGCTAGCTAAACTTATGAAAAGCTGTGAATTTAATAATCATAGAACATTGCTTTTCAGTCTGAACATTCTTCTAACAAACCTTGGATCTGAGGCTCCTTGTCCTGTGCGGCAGCCACAGTGGTTTTTTGTTGTTAGGGGAAAAATAAAAAACCTTGCCCGCAGCATCTGGTTAAGATTAGGGCAGTTTCCTGCCTAAGGAGGGAGGGGAGAGCAAAAGGAGGAAGAAATGCATAAGGAGAATGAGGAGATAGAAAATGTCTCAGAAAACAGGAAACATTGTCATATTTTCCCTTGTCCTCTTCTGACAAGATCTGGGAAAGTACCAGAATTTAGGCAAGAAAGAGAAAAATGCCTCGAAGAAATGATCAGGAAGCAAAACTTAGATGGAAATCTCTCCTTTGTGTATTCTGAACCCCACTACCATCTTGTTCTTTATCTGTCTCCAAGCCTGCTGAGGACCCTGGAGGAAACAGGCACTGAGCCCATTCTGATTGTCCAGTTTCTATCCTATTTCTGGTTGTGTAAGTGTGTGTGTTTGTGTGAGAGAGAGAGAGACAGAGAGTGTGTGTGTGTTGGTTAAATCTCCTGAGAGAGAGAGAAATGGCTACATCTGCCTAGATCAAAACTTGGAACCAGATGTACCAGCACCCTATCTAAACACAGGTCCCTCCTGACTATCATTGATTTATCACCCTTTCTCTGTCTACCTTCCTCTTCCTCATAAAGCCTAGTTTTCCTTGGTTTCCCTGCCAAATGGAAGAGTTTTCCCTAATTACATTCTTCTGCAGGATGTGGGGGCTCAAGGTTCTGCTACTACCTGTGATGAGCTTTGCTCTGTACCCTGAGGAGATACTGGACACCCACTGGGAGTTATGGAAGAAGACCCACAGGAAGCAATACAACAGCAAGGTGCCTGGGGTCCTGAAGGGGGCATGGCAGGAGGGCTGAGACTTGAGCTCTCCCATCTTAGCTGCAGACTCCCTTCTTCAATCCAAATGCTTTATTCCTAGCAAATCAGTCCCTCTTTCCTAACTCACGTTAACATACGGTTTTCATTCCTATGCTTCAAATCATCCTCTGTCAAATTGTATCCTTCCTTTGCTTTATAAGTGTGTTACATATCTCTTTTGGGAAGATTTCTAAGATTAATGCTATTCATCTATAAGCATTTTTTCTGTCTCTCCAGAGCTTTGTGTTGTATTTCTTTACGTATTATCTCTTCTTGCAGGCCTTAATAATTCCATGGTTAGTTCCCCAACTAAACTGTAAAGTTTTATGATTGTGAGTTTCCTTTATTCTCCTAAAACCCTTCACAATATGACATATGTAACTGTACATGGTCTATACAACTACTGACTATGCTTTGTTTAGGTGGATGAAATCTCTCGGCGTTTAATTTGGGAAAAAAACCTGAAGTATATTTCCATCCATAACCTTGAGGCTTCTCTTGGTGTCCATACATATGAACTGGCTATGAACCACTTGGGGGACATGGTAAGTACAGCCTCAGCTCTTGTCCCACCTGCACCGTTTGCTTTAGTTCCCTGCTGATGCCTGGCCTCTTTCTTCTTTGTCTCAGACCAATGAAGAGGTGGTTCAGAAGATGACTGGACTCAAAGTACCCGCCTCTCATTCCCACAGTAATGACACCCTTTATATCCCAGACTGGGAAGGTAGAGCCCCAGACTCTGTCGACTATCGAAAGAAAGGATATGTTACTCCTGTCAAAAATCAGGTACTCTCCTTTCTTCTGGGTGTGCATATGTAATCTGGCATGACCTTTTCCTTTTTCTGCTGCTTTGTTCTTGAGGTGAAAGGGCACCAGGAAGAGAGGGCAAGGGATTAAGGTACATCTCCCCATTCTGTTATTTAACCTCATTTGTTTCTGTTCATTTGGGTTGTTTCTGGTTTTTCTTTTTCCCTTCCTTTTTTTTTTTTTGAGATAGAGTGTCACTGTGTCGCCCAGGGTAGAGTGCAGTGGTGCAATCTTGGCTCACTGCAACCTACACCTCCCGGTTTCAAGCGATTCTCCTGCCTCAGCCTCCCGAGTAGCTGAGGTTACAGCACGCACCACTACGCCTGGCTAATTTTTCTATTTTTATAGAGATGGGGTTTCACCTTGTTGGCCAGGCTGGTCTTGAACTCCTGACCTCAGGTGATCCACCTGCCTTGGCCTCCCAAAGTGCTGGGATTACAGTCGTGAGCCACCGCGGCCTGGTTTTTCTTTATTACAAATAGTGTTGCAATAAGCACCCTTGTGCGTATATTTTTGTGCACATGTACAAATATTTATGCAAAACAAGTCCTAAAATTGGAATTGCTGGGTCACAGTCCTTTCCCCCCGCAAAAAATTATTATTGTTGTTATTTTTTTTTTTTGAGACAGAGTCTCTGTCACCCAGGCTGGAGTCCAGTGGCGCAATCATGGCTCACTGCAGCCTCAACCTCTCAGGTTCAAGTGATTCTCCAACCTCAGCCTCCCTAGTAACTGGGACTACAGGCACATGCCACCACATCCAGCTAAGTTTTAAAAAATTTTTTGTAGAGACAGGGTTTTGCCATGCTGCCTAGGCTGGTCTCAAATTCCTGGGCTCAAGCAATCTGCCTGCCTCGGCCTCCCAAAGTGCTAGGATTACAGACATGAGCCACCATACCCAGCCCCAAAAAGTTCTTGCAATCTTACATTCTTACTAGCATGAGAATGTCAGTTTTTTCACAACCCAAACAACACAGGATTATATCAGCAAGATAAACAATTGATTCAACGTTCATATAACAAACACTTTTTGACCCCCAGAACCTACCAGGTGCAGTGTTAGGCAGCAGAGATTCAAGATGACTAAGACACAACCTGTGTCCTCAGGAAATCTCAATCTAAAAAAATAGAATAGGAAAGAAAGAAAAACCTACAATCTAGCTGCATGAACAATAATAGCTAATACTTCTTGAGATTTTATTGTGTGTCAGGAGCTTCTTAGCTCTTTACATGAGTTAAATATTTTAATCTTCATAACAATATTTTATACATAGAGAAACTGAGACATAGGCAAGTTTAGTAACTTACCCAGGGTCACATAGCGACTGGGTGGCAAAGTCAGGGTTAGAACCCAGGACAACTGCCTCCAAAGCTGGTACTGTGCTCTGCTTTACTGTAGCTAATAGTAAAAATGGTAGCAAAAATCAATAGCAGTAGAACAATGCATCAGATGTTAAGGGGAAGAGAAAGACTCACAACAAAGACAACATTTGTGCTGAAATTTTTAGAACACATGGAATTTCTTCAGGCAGGTAGAGAGAAGATATAGAAAATATAAACAGCAAAGATTGATAGTTTCTCTGTATGCCTCTCAGGGTCAGTGTGGTTCCTGTTGGGCTTTTAGCTCTGTGGGTGCCCTGGAGGGCCAACTCAAGAAGAAAACTGGCAAACTCTTAAATCTGAGTCCCCAGAACCTAGTGGATTGTGTGTCTGAGAATGATGGCTGCGGAGGGGGCTACATGACCAATGCCTTCCAATATGTGCAGAAGAACCGGGGTATTGACTCTGAAGATGCCTACCCATATGTGGGACAGGTGAGATTGCTCCACACAATTATACAGCTCTGTCGGCTCCTCCTTCCCCAGCATGATATTTTGTACTACAAACAATTCCAGAAATACTGTTTTCTGTTACCCTACCCTGCTTTCTTGATGGAATAATTTCCCACAGAAGACTAAGAAGATTTCCACAATCTGGGGGAACTTAGGGAGCTTAAGCTACTATAGTTCCTATTTGCCTCTCTGCCATGGAGAGAAAATAGAGGCTAGGCCACCTACCCCATAGACTTCTGAGCAGGGTTCTATAACCGTTTGCTCAATTCCTCACTCCCACAACAAACCCACAAACCCACCATGCCATTGTGTGGCTTAATTTTATATGATCTCAGTGTGAGTTTTCAGAACATTTAAGGAAGTTATGTAAGTTTACATGCTAACATGTATAAAATGAGAGAAAAAACAAGTTGCTTCATATTAGAGATAAGGGATTAATTCAGTTCCTCCTGCATGATCCTCTAGTCATAGGAAGGAAATCGTATCTGAAAGGGAGGCAACCTGAGGGTCTTTTTATACACATAGGGCTGGGACTGATAGATAATATAATGTAGGGCCTTCACAACAGAAACCTCTGAAATAGGCATAGCAAGTTTGAGAATAAAAATGATGGCTACTGTGTTCTAAGCCATGTCCTTAGTGCATGTTTTCTTTTTCTTTTTTTCATTTAATCTCATAACAACTCTGTAAGGTAGACTTATCTTCAATGTATATGTGAGGAAATGGACACTTAAGGAGATAAGACACTGTAATTCATACCAGTAGTATGTAGCAAAGGTAAGATGTATCTACTAGGGATGTTTATCTTTAGCAAACATTCCTAGGTATGTCTCCCATACACATGTGCAAGAATTTCTTACTAGGATATAATGACTTGGAACTGAATTGTCTGGGTCTTAGGGTATATCTGTTTTCAACTTTACTACATAATGTCAAATTGTTTGCCAAAATATTTGGAAAAATTTATACCTGCAATGTGTAAGAAATCCCATTGAATCACCTTTTTATCAGTGTGTTTATCTGGCCATTTGCATTTCTTCTTCAGTGAATTAACTGTTTTTATCTTTTGCTCATTTGTTTTTCTTTTTATTTATTTGAAACAGGGTCTTACTGTGTTGCCCAGGCTGGAGTGTGGTGGTACAGTCATAGTTCACTGCAGCCTCCACTTCCTGGGCTCAAGCAATCCTGTCACCTCAGTCTCCCAAATAGCTAGGATATAGGTGTATGTCGTCATGCCCACCAATTTCAAAAATCTTTGAATTTTTTTTTTTTGTTGAGGCTAGGCATGGTGGCTCATGCCTGTAATCCCAGCACTTTGGGAGGCTGAGGCGAGAGGATCACTTAAGCCCAGGAGTTCCAGATCAGCCTGGTACAACATAGCAAGACTTCATCTCTACAGAAAATCTTTTTAAAAGTAGCTAGGTATGATGGCGTGCACCTGTAGTCCTAGCTACTCAGGAGGCTGGTTGGGAGGACAACTTGAGCCTGGGAGTTCAAGGCTGCTGTGAGCTATGATCATGTCACTGCTCTCTAGCCTGGGTGACAGAGTGAGACCCTGTCCCGAAAAACAATAAAAATTTTTTTTGATAGAGACATTGTCTCACTACGTTGTCAAGGCTGGTCTCAAACTCCTAGGCTCAAGCAATCCTCCCACCTCCCAAAGTGCTGGGATTACATATGTGAGCCACCATGCCTGGCCTACCTCTTTTTTTTTTTTTTTGAAATGGAGTTTTGCTTTTGTTGCCTAGGTTTGAGTGCAGTGATGCGATCTTGGCTCCCTGCAACCTCCATCTCCTGGGTTCAAGCGATTCTCCTGCCTCAGCCTCCTGAGTAGCTGGGATTATAGGCACCCACTACCATGCCGAGCTAGTTTTTGTATTTTTAGTAGAGACAGGGTTTCACCATGTTGGCCAGGCTGGTCTTGAACTCCTGACCTCAGGTGATCCACCCGCCTCGGCCTCCCAAAGTGCTGGGATTACAGGTGTGAGCCACCGTACCCCACCTCTTACCCATTTTTAATTGGGTTGTTTTTTCTCTTTCTTAGCAATTCTTAAAAGTTTAAAAAGACTATTTGGATACCAGTACTATGTATTTAAAAGTTGAGGTTTGTCTTTTCATTCTCTTTATGATGTCTTTCAATCTAGAAAAGTTAATTTTAATATAGTAAAATGATTAATTTTCCTTTGCAATTTTTGCAATGTGTTTTATTCATTTATGAATGGAGAAAGGTAAGAAAAAACAAAATTTAAAAAAGAAGAGATCTGGCCAGGTATGGTGGCTCACACCTATAATCCCAGTACTTTGGGAGACTGAGGCAGGCAGAGCACTTGAGGTCAGGAGTTTGAGACCAGCAGGGATAGCATGGTGAAACCCCATCTCTACTAAAAATACAAAAATTAGCCAGGTGTGATGGCGTACACCTGTAATCCCAGCTACTCGGCAGGCTAAGGCAGGAGAATTGCTCGAACCCAGGAGGCAGAGGTTACAGTGAGCCAAGATCATGCCATTGCACGGCAGCCTGGATGACAGAGACTCTGTCTCAAAAAATAAAAAGATAAAAAAGAAGAGATCTGATAGGGCAGCAGCCAGATAACATTTTAAAGGGATGGTATTATAAGTTTGTTCCAGCTATAATGCAGGTTATTCTGACTTTAAAGTATCATCACATAACATCTTTTTGAGTCAGTTTCCAAGATACTCTGTTTCACTTGTAATTCTGTGTAGTTTTTGGCACCAGGAGGCATCAGGGATTTGGAGCACATGGCAGAAACAAAGGCATACTGAAAAATATCAAGGCAGTAGACCACTGTAATCTTAAAATAGCACAGCAAATGCTGCTATTGCTGTTAATATTTAGATAATGTTAGATAACGTATTTTTTTAGAGGATATTTCACTATCTTACACAGGCTGGAGTGGAGTGGCTATTCACAGCATGATCATAGTACACTAAAGCCTCAAACTCCTGAGCACAAACAATCCTCCTGCCTCAGCCTCCTGAGTAGTAGATAGTATATTCTTGTGGATGCAACCTTAGGGTTCTGAAGGGGTAGTCTGTAGGAAAATGAATTGCTGAAAAGAATACACCACCTTGACATGGGCTATTATTCGATTCCATAATTGTGGCTTCCCAACGAAATATTGCTAACTACCTGTAAAATATAGTGTTGGAAGTCATAGGCTAAATTGCTATGTTCTTTAATCTATTTTAGTGTCATGTTATGTACTTTCATATTTTGTCTTTGATGAGAGCACAAGGATCACACCAGTTCCCCTGATATAGGTGCAGAGGGCCCAGGTCTTCCCTCTAGCTAAACCTTGACCTTGGCCTCCTGTCCACACAGAAGCTGGTGCCTTCCTGCCCCCTGAGGCTAATACATACTATGTGGCCAGAAGATGGTTTATGCTTTTAAAAAAAATCTTATTTCAGAAATCTTTCCCTACTGTTTTACAGGTTTTCTTCCCACATTTATGTCTTAAAACACCTGTAGTTGATTTTTTTTTTTTTTTTTTTTTTGAGCCGGAGTCTCGCTCTCACCCAGGCTGGAGTGCAGTGGCATGATCTTGGCTCACTGCAAGCTCTGCCTCCCACGTTCATGCCATTTTCCTGCCTCAGCCTCCCGAGTAGCTGGGATTACAGGCACCCACTACCGTGCCTGGCTAGTTTTTTTGTATTTTTTTTAGTAGAGACGGGATTTCATCGTGTTAGCCAGGATGGTCTCGATCTCCTGACCTCGTGATCCACCCGCCTCGACCTCCCAAGGTGCTGGGATTACAGGCGTGAGCCACCACGCCCGGCCTGTAGTTGATTTTTATGTGTGGTGGAAGGCGGGAATCCTCTTTTCATGTTCTTTTTTGTGAGGAAGAACAGACCCTCTCTAGAAACCCTAGACTGCTGCCTCTGTTAGTTCACTGGCATCACTCAAAATATTGGTTGAGTTTCTCACTCACTGACTCATTGCCTATTGCTTTGTCCTACTTCTATTACAATCTTGTTTCTTCCAGGAGGAGAGCTGTATGTACAACCCAACAGGCAAGGCAGCTAAATGCAGAGGGTACAGAGAGATCCCCGAGGGGAATGAGAAAGCCCTGAAGAGGGCAGTGGCTCGAGTGGGACCTGTCTCTGTGGCCATTGATGCAAGCCTGACCTCCTTCCAGTTTTACAGCAAAGGTAAGAAGCTGCTGATCCTATAGAGCACTGTCTTTTATGATACAAGCTTGATGGCTTCTCGAAGGACCTTGGGTATTTTCAGTACTAGTTTTTGTATTCAGATGGAGGCAGCCAGAGAGAAATTAACAACTGCTGCAGTACGGAGCAGCATCTCTGTGGTAAACCCTCCTGACAGGGATGGAATTCTACAGAGAGTCTCCTGGACTGGGAGATCCCACAGGGTGACCCTTGGATTGCATAGAGCCTCACACTGATAGTTTGTATTCTAGGTGTGTATTATGATGAAAGCTGCAATAGCGATAATCTGAACCATGCGGTTTTGGCAGTGGGATATGGAATCCAGAAGGGAAACAAGCACTGGATAATTAAAAACAGGTAATGATGGGAACACTACTTTTGTTATTCAATCACCCTTTTAACATTCAACCTCACCTCCAGCTTCCTGATATTCCTTTCTCTGTCCCAAATCAAGAAAAAATTATCTCAGGCTTCTCACTTCTATCTTCTCAGTCAGAGGCTCTTAATTCTGAGTCCAACACTTAATGGCCAGTGTGTTAGTCCATTTTGCATTACTACAAAAGAATACCCGAGACTGGGTAATTTATAAAGAAACGAGGTTTGTTTGGCTATACGAAGCATGGCACTAGTATCCGCTCAGCTTCTGATGAGGCCTCGGAGCTTTTTCTCATGGCAGAAGGCAAAAGGGGGAGCAAGCATGTCACATAGTGAGAGAGGGAGCAAGAGAGAGAGGGAGGTGCCAACTCTTTAAAGAACCAGCTCTTGCATGAACTAATAGAGTGAGAACTCACTTATCACCAAGGCGATGGCACCAAGCCATTCATGAGGAATCCACTCCCATAACCCAGACACCTCCCACTACACCCCACCTCCTACATTGGGGATCACATTTCAGCATGAAACTGGGAGGGGACACACATCTAAACCATATCCGCCAGACAATAGTGCTCAATTATGTGCTGGGCAGATACTCCCTGTGTGCAAGATGCTTAGTGACATACACAAGCCAATGAGCAGGTGACACCTTCAGTGAGCTCAGAGCCCAGTAAGATAGACGTAACTAACCACGAGATAAAGCAGTACAGAGAATCAGCAGGAGCTTTGAAATTACATATTTTTACTTTCTTTTGTCTCTAATATGATCAGTTTCTTAGGGTGGTTTCCATTAGCAGTCTGTCTTTAACAATAGGGCAACAGCGTAAAGGTTTAATACTCCTTTGAACAGTTTTTTCCCTTCAAGATACACTTAGGATACACGTATATAAGAACTTGCCGAAGATTGTGAAGAGAAACATTTTTTAGAAATAAGATATAAACAAAAAAAGTTGGTGTTTACTTTCCTATGTTGGGGAACAAAGAAAACTCCAGGGTACCTTGTTTTCCATTTCTCTTTAGCACCTTGTGACTTTTGGGGAGGGGCAGATTGATAAGAATTATAGTTTTCCTTTCCTGGCTGATCACCATTAACCTGGCAGCAGCACTGGCTAAATCTGCTGTCCTTAGTGCCCTCCAAGGAACAGGAGCCCTAGACTCTGGGGAGCTCACAGACTCACGCAGTGGTGTTGTTCAAACCTGAAGCAACTTTTTATATCACAGTTCCAACTCAAGATGAACCTGAGCATCTTCCCAAGTCTCCCACAGCTTCTGTCCTGTGTTGTCCCTTCTCTTGACTCCCAGCTCTAAGCACTTACCCTGTTCTTTCATGATCAGGTGCCATGTGTGGAGATACTTCCAAGAGAGCTGGGAGGAAGAAAGGACACACCCGAGCAGGATCAGGAACACTGGGGGCCCCTAGAGAAGGGGAGAGTGGGGATAGAGTACAGGTTTTAAATAAAATGTATTGGGTAATTGGAGAAGTTGCTGCTTGGGGAAAGAGGACTGAAAACAATTCAAGAAGATATACAGACAGTCTCTCCTCTCTCCTCTTTCTCTCTCCTGTGTCTCACGTCATCTCTCATATCTTCTAGTCTCGCCACTCATTTCCTTAATAATCTCATCTACTCTCATAGTTTCATCCATCTCTTCTATAGGGTTTACTCCCCAGTCAAGATCACCAGCTTCAGCCTCTTTCTTATGCTCTAAACTTACATTTTCAAGATTAATCTTCCCCAAATACAGCTCTGATCATATCACTCTCCCACTCAAAATCCCTTACTGGCTCCTCCACTATGATGGGTCACAGAGTAAAGGTGAAGCTGTTTAACCTTGCAGTAAAGGTAATTCAACCTGGTCTCAATCCGCCTTTCCAGACATCTCTCCCACTACACCCTGTTAGGCACACTGTTTTTCAGCTACATGATCCTAACAGTGCCCCACACTTTCCTGCCTCTATTGTTCATTTCACACCCTTCCACTGGCATCCCCTTCCCACAGGTCGAAAATCTACTCAGCCTTTTGGCTCAGCTTAAATGCCATCTCTTACATCAAGCCTCTGAGATTCTCTTGATCAGAAGGAATCTTCCCTCCTTTGATACCTGTAGTATTACGCCTTCTTCCTATTTCTTGACTTTAAACTCTTTAAAGGTAAAAACCATCATATTCATTTTTGTGTACCATCAGTATCTCGCACAATACTCAGTAAATATTTTAACGAATAAATAAACTAAGAGTACTAAGTACTTTTCTTGATTGGTCTTACAGCTGGGGAGAAAACTGGGGAAACAAAGGATATATCCTCATGGCTCGAAATAAGAACAACGCCTGTGGCATTGCCAACCTGGCCAGCTTCCCCAAGATGTGACTCCAGCCAGCCAAACCATCCTGCTTTTCCATTTCTTCCGCAATGGTGCAGTGTAACGATGCACTTTGGAAGGGAGTTGGTGTGCGATTTTTGAAGCAGATGTGGTGATGCTGAGATTGTCTGTTCAGTTTCCCCATTTGTTTGTGCTTCAAATGATCCTTCCTACTTTGCTTCTCTCCACCCATGACTTTTTTCACTGTGGCCATCAGGACTTTCCCTGACAGGTGTGTACTCTTAGGCTAAGAGATATGACTACAGCCTGCCCCTGACTGTGTTGTCCCAGGGCTGATGCTGTACAGGTAGAGGCTGGAGATTTTCACATAGGTTAGATTCTCATTCACAGGACTAGTTAGCTTTAAGCACCCTAGAGGACTAGGGTGACCTGACTTCTCACTTCCTAAGTTCCCTTCTATATCCTCAAGGTAGAAATGTCTGTGTTTTCCACTCCAGTTCATAAATCTATTCATAAATCTTTGGTACAAGTTTACATGATAAAAAGAAATGTGATTTATCTTCCCTTCTTTGCATTTTTGAAATAAAGTATTTATCTCTTGTCTATAGTTTAATAAATAGCATCTAGTACACATTCATTTTGTGTTGGATACTGTGCTAGGTGCTGGAAGAAAAAAGATGAATAGAACGTTTTCTCTGTACTTGTTGCACTCACAGTCTGGTTGTAGAGACTGTCACATAAACATTTCATCCCAATTCATTTATTTGTTCATTCCTTCAGCCAATATATATTGAGTGCTTACTCTGTACCAAGAACTGTACTACATTTCTGGGATTAAGTGGATATAAGGAAATCTCAATGTTTAATTCTGCCTGAGGGGAGACATGAGGAGTGACATGGAAACTTGAGTCTTGAAAAACATTGTAAGGTTAGTTTTTCTTTTCTGTCTCTCTCGCTCTGCCTCTTTCTCTCTCTGTCGTCAGGGTCTCCCTCTGTTGCCCAGGCTGGAGTCAGTGGCACTCATAGCTCACTGTAGCCTTGATCTCCTGGGCTCAAGAGTTCCCACCTCAGCCTCCTAAATAGCTTGGACTACTGTGAACACTGCCATGCTTAGCTGATTTTTAAAAAATTATTTTTTGGGAGACTGAGGTGAGAGGATCACCTGAGCCCAGCAGTTTGAGACCAGCTTGTCTCCCTATTTGGCCGCCTGGGCCTCCCAAAGTGCTGGAATTATAGGTGTGGGCCACTGCATCCAACATGACACTGTTGTTAATATGGCTATAATCCCCAAATTGATCTACAGAATCAACACAATTTGTATTAAAATCCCAGCTGGCTTCCTTGCAGAAATTGGCAAGCTGACTCTAAGATTCATATGGACATTCAAGGGCTTCAGAATAGCCAAAACAACCTTGAAAAAGAACAAAGTTGGAGGACTTGCACTTCTCAGTTTCAAAACTTAACTTCATACCAATAGTAGTCAAGACAATGTGGCATAGGATAGGCATATAGATCAATGGAATAGAATTAAGGGTGTAGAAATAAACCACATTCAACTGACATGGGGTGCCAAGACAATTCAAGGTGGGAAAGAATAGTCTTTTCAAAAATCATGCTGGACAACCAAATAACAACATGGAGAGGAATGAAGTTGGAACACTACTCCATCTCATATAAAACATTAATTCAAAATGGCTAAAAACCTAAGGGTAAAAGCTAAAACTCTTAGAAAACACAGGGGTAAATCATCCTGACCTTGAATTAGGCAGTGGTTATGACACCACAGCACAAGCAACAACAACAGAAAATTAGGGCTGGGCGCCGTGGCTCATGCCTGTAATCCCAGCACTCTGAAAGTCTGAGGTGGGCAGATCACCTGAGGTCAGGAGTTTGAGACCAGCCTGGCCAACATGGTGAAACCCTGTCTCCACTAAAATACAAAAATTAGCCAGGCATGGTGGTGGGCCACTGTAATCCCAGCTACTTGGGAGGCTGAGGCAGGAGAATCACTTGACCCTGTGAGGCAGAGGTTGCAGGGAGCTGAGATCACACCACTGCACTCCAGCCTGGGTGACAGAGCGAGTGCTTAATAAAAAAAAAGAAAAATTAGGGTGCTTAATAAAAAAAAATTAGGGTGCTTAAAAAAAAAAGATGATTGGACTTCATCAAAATTAGAATGTTTTGTGCACCAACGGACACTATTAAGAGAGGATAAAGACAACACAGAATGGGAAAAGATATCCACAAGTTATATATCTGATGAAATAATTAATATCCAAAATATGCAAAGAACTCCCACAACTCTACAATAAAAATAAAAAATAAAAAATGGGCAAAGGACTTGAATACATATTTCACCAAAACAGATATACAAATGGTAAATAAGCACATGAAAATATGCTCAACATCACTAGCCTATAAGGAAATGTAAACCAAAACCACAATGAGATACACTTCATACCCATTAGAATGGCTGTTCGGACAACCACAAAAATCCAGAATGTAACAAGTGTTGATGAGGATGTGGAGAAACTGGAATTCTTGTACATTGTTAGTGGGAATGTAAAAGGGTGCACTTGCAGTGGAAAACAGTGTGTTGGTTCCACAAAAACTTAAACATAGAATTACCATATAATCCAGCAATTCCACTCCTAGGTATAGATCCAAAATAATTGAATGCAGGGATTCAGATACTCATACACCAATGTTCTTAGCAGCATTATTCACAAAAGCCAAAAGGTAGCAACAACCCAGTGTCCATTAACAGATGAATAAATAGCTTAATGTGATAATATTTTACACAATGGAATATTATTCAGCCATAAAAAGAAAGAAAATTCTGGCTGGGACGGTGGCATGCCTGCATAGTCCCAGCTACTAGGGAGGCTGAAGTGGGAGGATCGCTTGAGCCCAGAAATTTGAATCCAGCCTGGGCAACATGGTGAAACCCCATCTCAGGTAAAAGAGAAAGAAGAAAGAAAGAGGCCGGGTGTGGTGTCTCACGCCTGTAATCCCAGCATTTTGGGAGGCCGAGGCGGGCGGATCACTTGAGGCCAGGTGTTCGAGACCAGCCTGGCCAGCATGATGAAACCCTGTCTCTACTAAAAATACAAAAATTAGTTGGGTGCAGTGGCTCATGACTGTAATCCCAGCTACATGGGAGGCTGAGGCACAAGAATCGCTTAAACCTGGGAGGCAGAGGTTGTGGTGAGCTACAATCGCACCACTGCACTCTAGCCTGGGCGACAGAGTGAGACTACATCTCAAAAACAAACAAACAAAAAACACTTTATGACTTAGCCTTGTGATTCCAAATTAAATATTAATCATTTTGTTGTTACTCTTCTCTACTTCTCTTATGGTCCATATTAGCAAATTCTGTCCCTGCCTCTTCAAAATATAATATGAATCTGGACATTTCTCTCTCCCTCTACCATGACCACACAGTTTAAGTTCCTTTCGTTGCCCCCTAGTCTTATGTAATAGTCCTATAACTTCCCTACTTCCACACTACACTCTACCCTACAGTCTATTTCTCCCTGTACAAAACTCTCCATTACTTTTTCATTTATTTAACAAATATTAAGTCTCTACTATGAGGCAGGCACTGTTCTGGTAATTCAACAGTGACAAAAATTCATGACCTCATTGGGTTTATATTTTAGTGAACTTAGAATATAATACAAAAGTCTTAAGTGGCCTACAAGCAGAATGATCTGGTCCCAGGCTTTTTTTTTTGTGGGGGGGATGGAGTTTTGCTCTTGTTGTCCAGGTTTGGAATGCAATGGCGTGATCTCAGCTCACTGCAACGTCCACCTCCCGGGTTCAAGTGATTCTCCTGCCTCAGCCTCCTGAGTAACTGGGATTACAGGTGCCCACCACCACGCCCGGCTAATTTTTGGTATTTTTAGTAGAGACAGGGTTTCTCCATGTTGGTCAGGCTGGTCTCCAACTCCTGGCCTCAAGTGATCACCCATCTCGGCCTCCCAAAGTGCTGGGATTATAGGCGTGAGCCACCAGGCCCAGCCGTTTTTTGTTTTTTGTTTTTTGTTTTTTTAGGATAGGGTCTCATTCTGTCACCTAGATTGGAGTGCAGTGGAGCAATTACATCTCACTGCAGCATCGACCTCCTGGGCTCAAGTGATTCTCCCACCTCAGCCTCCTGAGTAACTGGGACTATAGGCACATGTCACCACGCCCAACTAATTTTTGTATTTTTTGTAAAGATGAAGTTTTGCCATGTTGCCCAGGCTAGTCTCGAATTCCTGGACTCCAGTAATCCACCTGCTTCAGCCTCCCAAAGTGCTAGGATTAACCACCGTGCCTGGCCTAGGCCACCTGTCTGACTTCATTTCAGCCTGTGGTGTTATGGAAAGTGGTTCCCTAAACAAAATTAGAATGCTGTTAGAAATAAGGAGTTGTTCAGGAAATGCTCCTGCCTGTATAAAAGAGTGCTTATCAACACCTCTTCCCCAGTGAGAGACAACCCAGGGCCTCATTTGGTTACTGTGTTCAACTCTAAGACCAGGATTTCTGGCTGATGATTTCTTTCTGATTTCTTTCTGAAATTTGGATATGGCTCCTTGAGGCCTGGCAAGCAGATGCTTAATATTTGTTAAATAAATGAAAGAGTAATGGGAGAGTTTTGTACAGGGGAGTGATGTGACCTGGGGTACAGGGAAGAATAGACTGTAGGGCAGAGTGTAGCATGGAAGTAGGGAAGTTAGAGGGCTGTTACGTAAGTCTAGTGGGAACTTAAACTGTGTGGTCATGGTAGAGGGAGAGAGAAGTGGTCAGATTCTCTTATACTGGGTAAAACTTAAACTATCTTAGCCAATATATCTTAAAAAAAAAAAAAAAAGGAGAGGAACTGAGTAATTATAATGAAAACTCTAATTCTGGAAAGAGGAGAATGGATGAAAAATAGCACACAGTTATCGTTGATCTGTAGCATAAATTATGTCCTGCTAGGCAGGAATATGGAAGACTTCCTGCCTGGCAGTAGAATGAGTTCCTTGGCGAGGTAACTGGGAAACTCGAGGCTCGCTTTCTATGGGGCTCTTCTTTATGGTCTAGCATGGCTCCTGCTTCTTCCTGCTAGAGGATCTTACTTGTCTCTTATTCTTCATGGCTATGCCAGAGATGGGCACATGGAAATGCCCTTTCTGGGCATGCCCTATTCAACTTTAGCTGTGGTACAAATTGGAAACCTAGAAAGTACAATAGATTGCTGGGCCTGGGGTTTCTTTGGCAATACGTTCCCATAAAAGTTCAGTAGCTTTTGGTCTGAGTTGTCACACCCAGAAAGTGTTTTTCTAGATAAAATGTTTAAATCTGAGAATTTCAAACTCCTAGGAATCAACCTTAATGCGGTGCCATCCCCCTAACCTCCATTTAATGGTACTTGTCCTAAGAAGCTCAAAATAAAAGCCGTAAGAGCAGACGTATACCCATAATCTGAGCTGTGCCCTCTTTTCTGGGAAAATGCTTAGCTGGAGGTGCATAACAAAACCCTGGAACTCTGGTCTTATTTCTTGCTGAATCTTTTGCCTCCTTGCCTCTGCATTAAGTTTAATTTGGTGCTTTTTATTTATGTACTTTTTTGAGATGGAGTCTTTCTCTGTTGCCCAGGCTGGA